TGTCCCTTCAAGCAATTGGGGGAGGGGAGCCACACCTGACTTCAACTTTCAATGGAAACCAATCTTCAAAATATTCATTTGCCCAATTCTCTTCAAATTGCTAATGGCCTTTTCACGAGCTCTCGCCTAATAATTGATGAGGAAGCCAAATACAGGATGAATGGGATAGTCACCATGCGTAGGACCAGCCTTAACTAATTCCTAAGCAAGGCCCAATCTTATTCGCAAGTCTCCATTTAGACCAATTCTATAATACTTATTAAGTTTTCATTTTGCCTTGTCACACGATTGGCATGCTAACTGGAATAGATTACTTGCTCCCCAAGCAAGTGCGGATAACCAGCCTCATAACCCATCCGCATATCGGCCAATATGTCCTAGAACTCCGCTACCGCAGCCCGACTCGAGAAGTTAACAAGCCTATGCCTTGCCCAGCCATAGGCCAGACGGAAGGATATGAATCGAGTCGTACGAGTACATCATCTGATGCGGAAGGGTTCAAGGATAACTACCTTCAACCCACGTGCGATCAGTGATATGCTAATCGACACACCGTCATTGTCTCCAGCACCTTCAGGATAGTCTAGGTGGTGGTACTTTCTCCGGACAAACATACTTTCATCTAACTTCACAATTTTCCCCTCGCCACCGATCCTTTCCCTTTTCCAAAGACATTCTTCGAGACAAGCCTGCGATAAAGAAGGATACTTATTTATAAACATGCACCAAAACGCTGTTGAGGAATGCCGTGACATGCCTGTAGAAAGTTTCACCTGAGAATGATGCCAGTTGACGACCGTCCTGGAAGAGACTACCGTCTCGTGGACGATATATTCCAGATATTCACTATGCGAAGTTTCCATCAACTTAAGATTGGAAGGGTTCCTTCTTTCTAAATTCTAGACAGAAATAAACTCATCGCATCTGGTTTTCTTCTGTCCCTTCTTCTTTCCTCTGCTCGTCGTTCTTTTTTGGCGGTGGAAAGCAACGCCATCACTTAATCTAGTGCAGACACTTACGGTCATTAGTTCCTGGCATTTGTGACACATGCTCTCTGAAACCACCCTTCTTTGACGATTTGATTGACCAGGTCGGTAGCTGCAATATCGTCATATGAGGATTAAGTCGCTTCTGCAATACGTCCATCTGCACGTTACACCATGAAGAAGTTCAAGCAGAATAGTTTCAGTCTTGGGACAATTTGACATGGGACAGAGGCCACTGGTTATTGAATAAAAAATATATAGCTTCCATCTTTTTACATGAAATTTTCGGACCAAAACATGCGAAATCATCAAACACAATGTTTACTATGACAAGCAAAATGGTTCATAGTATTGCCTACTACTCCTTGGCAACAAAAATGTGCACGAAATTCATTAGAGTTTCTGGTATTACTTACGTTCCAAATTGCTCAAAACATGAATTTTCGCAGTAGTCCGTTTGTCAATGGGTTTTCCATAACTTGCGGATCTGCGAGGGACCTTCGTAAGTGGTGAAGCAAGAGTTCTTTTTGATATGCCGCCTGCCTTTTGCATATTTTGCTCAGTTGAGTCGGAAGGAATCGATGCCATGGCCGCCTTGCCAAGGTGAATCAAGCAAGGGAAACAAATTGAAGCAATGCAACTATTGCAAGGGGGGAAATCCCCCCTCTTCCCTATATATACTAAAAGTTTAAATGGAAAAAGTATAGAGAATGGACTTTGGTTTTTGTCATGGGTCTTTGGGGACATGCATTCATTTCCGGGTATCCGTACTATGGTCGTGTTAACATGGGTGAGCGGTAAGTCACAAGTGACTGGAAGAGTGCACATGCAACGCTTGGAGAATGTTATCAAGAATGCCCACAGGTGGACAGTGTTTCCGGAGCTCTTGGAGAGGTTACATTCGAGACTGAGAAGACCTCCAAAGGAGCCTTTATTTTTTCTTTATTCGAGATAAAGTCTAAATATAGCCGAAATAAAGTTGAAGAAACGTGAAAAAGCCCCCTGTAATAGTGAATTTCACTGGATTGAACTCAGGATAATGCATGTGATGATGTCACCTGAAGCTAAATGTTTCAAGTGCGATGTCATTAGGACAGGAAATAATATTAGCACAATATCGCTTAAGAGTAAAAGTAACAGCCAGGTGATAGGCATGAAAGCCATAATATTGACGAGGATCACAGAGAGATAGGTACTGGGATTTTGGGGAAGGAGTTCAGATCTTAAGCCGAAACCAAACACCCCAGTTTCAGGTTTGGGGTTTTGGGCACAAGTCCAGGTCCGAGAACTTGAGTGACTTTCCTAATGTGAGAGGGAGCTATAATCTCTTGGGTGGGATTTTTTCATACACGTCATCACCATTGGTTCCCTCAATTCATTTTCAGTATTAAAAGTACCCATACTGGAAATAGTAAAATCATCTGGTTTTAAGAACCATAATGGTCTCATCTGGAGTTGTCACGCATAACGATCGCTGAATGCCATGTACGTTCATAAGGACATCAACATACTTCATGAAGAGATAGTACTATATTTGGAATACATATGGACAAGCTATACTGTGAACAATCTGATTATTCTGTGATTGACGGGCATAAAACCAATGTTCACACGAGAGACACCTGCGTGATCTCTCTCACATTGCAATGTCGATGGAATATCAAGGGTCAACCAGGCCCAACTTACTCCCCTGGTTCGAGGTACGGCCAATACCAAGCTTTCGCTTGGCTCCAAGAATTTGGTCGGGTCGGTAGATGCAGGCGTGGATGACGAAGCCAACTCCAAACCCACCAAGAAAGATGGCTAGGAGGACGGCAAATATGATTCCTGCAGACCATGTTCCCCGTTCCTCACCAAAACCCACTTCTTCATAAGAAAAAAAAAAGTTTCCATCGTAATTCAACATCTTGCATTTTTTGTTAATGATTTTTGGCACATTGCTGAAAAATTTTATAAGTGATTGAAAATTTTCCCTCAGTATTGACATTAAACTCCGGAATCCAAAAAAAAAAACACCCACATATTCTGAATAGAACTCGCTTCAAGATGTGCGAAAACTAGATGCTAATTTTAACTCTCTGCCTTTAAATCGTAACCTATAGATACCTGTGTTTCACCAAACACAAAGATACAGAGGTCTGTCGCCTTCGGACAACACAAAGTTGCCATGCCTGGTCAGTTAAATTCCGTATATGGGGTAGTTAGGTATACTAATCCCGGAGATCCTTGCCATAATGGGCAACAGGAACATTTGGAAGTAAGCGGCTACCAAGACCAGAAGGTACATTTTTCTCATTGAGATTTTGATAGAAGAAAACGCTATGGAACAAATTGAACGAATGATAAGACATGTCATAACATGAATAAAACAAACTAACAAAAGAAAATGTACGGTATTTCCCCTAGCTTTCTGTTGTGCGCCTCCTTATGGTGAGACTGTGTATACACATTCCAGAGGAGCTCATTGCGCATACGCAATAAGCTCCTCTGGTTTAAAATTCATTCACCTGCTATCCATCCTCCGAACAGGTTTTAGCTAATAATCACGCACGCACTCGAGCAATCTCCTACAAATTCTCATAAATAAAATAGATAATCAGAGATTATCTATTTACTATTTACCTGTCCAAGAAAGATACAGGATATTCATCCACGCACCGAGTAAAACATTACCGTGCTCCTACACAAAGGCAATCTTAATGTTTTCCATGACTTCCTAGTTGCAACTTGCAAATACAACATTCTTATCTCGCTTCAGGAACTTGCTTATACCAAGGATTGCAACATATTTGTTTACTCAACCCATTAATCACATCCGAGTATACCAGATGACCTGTGAACTGGTTGGACCAAATTTTAGGACATGAAGTTAGAAAGCTTCCTCATCTCCTTACGTTTAATGCCACCGTGGTTTAAATTTCCACCAATACTATTTATCAGGCGCAATGATCCTTCTCGACATATGAACACACTTCTTTCCCTAATTCCACGTGACGTTGACAAATTGTGAATTTACGATGTAAATCAAGAGGTATTCGATTGTCACAGTCCTCGAATAAAAAAATTTCGCTCACTGCATTGGCCAGTTGCGTCATCCGCCAAAAATCCGTTGAAGCATGAACATGTTTTTCTCCCCTCACTTCCGGTGCAAATTGAATGGGTCACACATGCCGCTGAACTCGAGCATTCCCTTCCAGCTGGCAGCTCTGCGCAAAGGAAAACAAAAATCCTTTCGATTCAACATATAAAGCGTTGAAAACGATGTTCAAATCATTAGGGATTAGTAATTTTTGTTTGCGAAATGTTTTGAGCCTGAATCATGATTATGGAGAATCTATAAGGTTTTTCCAGTGTAGTTTCTATAGCTTCCGGACACATTGCCCATCATCATCGGGGAAAACATGCTAGTATGATGGAAGGGAGAATGGTGCAAAGGGGTTCAGCATAATTCGCCACAGGCGAATTTTTCTTAATTTTTTTTTGTGATAGCCTTTGTTATATTTGTAATATTTGTGATAGCCTTGGACAGCCAATGGAAATTAAGGATTCACTATTTCGGGGAACGTAATTGTTTTATTTAATACATGAATCTCAGCCGTCTTTGGACGATTCTCTGTTCATTGTTCCTTGAGATCTATTGGAAATGGCAAGCACATATATAAAGTACGTCCCTATTGAAATGCTTGACTTATGGGGACGAAAGTCTGGATTTTTATCAAAATCTTTACTTCTATGATTTCTAGTGTGCCTAACTTGAAATCTTTTATTGTGTCCCTTTTTGTAAGGGTGGAGAATACATTTTGAAATATTTCCCTCCTATAATCTACACTAAGGAGACATATGTCATGTAGTTGGCTGCCCTTGCGCTGCTGAGGTCGGGAGACGTGAATGAGCGAAGGCTTGCGTGGACTCGGCGCCAAGCCTCACGTGAACGAGGTCTTGCGTATTGGGAAAGGAAAGACAAGGTTTCTAACTGAGCCTCGTTTAATCACAATATCATTCTCCGAGTGGAGGTCACCAGGATTTGGGGAAATGATTGGTGCGCTGTTGTTTGGAAGTGAGGGGAGACTCGAGCCGCTCTGCCGAGAAGTGGAGGGTCGGCAGGCGTGAATGGCCCCGTTGCGAAATGTTCAATCCGCGGGCGTGGACGGCACCGTCAAGAGGTACTGAGCGAATGCTCCACGAATGCCCCGAATATCCGGAGATCTCCACCTTTGAAGGGCAAGTCTGGGCGGAGAAAGTAGTTCTCCGAGCCAAGGTGAAGGGGCTGGTACATGCCCCATGGCGAGGGCGAAAAGGGGTGAAAGGAAGAGCATCAGGGGACACATATATCAAAAGTAGGATTTTTCCTGTACTCAGCCATCAAACAGGAATTTCTGAGGGAAGTTTAAATTTTCTCTCTGTTTCGTTGGATAAAAACAATTCAGGAAAATGGAGCTGAAAAAGTGCCCTGATGGGTTTTAACGGAATTTTTTTTCTTTTGAAATGTAGGCTCAGGGAACTCCTTGCCACACAGTTTAAGTCTTACATTTTTCCCGCCAGCAAAAACGGGAAAAGTATATTTGGAAAAGCGACACACCCAACAGCTGTGCTCTGGGGAGACGCACAACAAAAGTTTAATTTTTCCTTAAATCAACACGTCCGTGATCCAGCTACTATTCTATTTCAGCCAGATTCAGTAGGATATGAAAAATTATTTGAAAACGTTACGTCTCCAAAAAATATGAACCCCAAAAATATTTTGGAAATTTGACGTTTGACATTAGAGCTCAGTGCGTCCACGGTCACGTTCCTGCCAAGTTTCGGTTTTCCATGTGTCTCCGTTTCATTGAAGCAAAGAGAACTATTTGAAAATATGTTCCCCGAAAGGATGTACCCCTATGGCATGTACCCCTATGGCATGTATCACCAAAGTAGAATTTTTCCTGAACTCAGCATGCGAATAGCTACTTATGTCAGTCAACTACTCACGATCCTCTATAAACAATAAAAGTATAAATTTTTATTCACTCAGCTATCCATTAGGTACGTATTTGCCAAGTTTAAGCTTTCTAGCCCCTCTATTTTGCTGGATCAGAAAATTCGGGAAAATACGCCTTTTGCAAAATATGTGCCCTGAGCCGTTTTAACCGAAAAGTACCATTTTTTAATTACCGAAATCCATCCTCAGTGAACTGCATGCCCAAAGAGATTCAATATTATGTTTGCCCTTTTCGCTGGTGAAAAAACATGTTTGGAATAGCCGACCCACCTAAAAGCTATGCTCGGAGGGGATGCACCATGAAAACTGAATGCTCCCTCAACTCAATAATATCATGTCACTTATACGTGTGCAGAGTTTCACCTTTCCATTTCTGACCAGTTCGCCACGACAAATTCTTTGTTTTTTATTTTCAAAATATCGCCCCTCGAAAAAATTCCCCAGGGAATCAAGACTTTGCACGAATGTGACTACTGAGACAAGGAGTTAAATAAAAATGTAAAGTGCAGCTTTCCATGTTCATCAGTTTAACTGATGCAAAAAAATTATTTGAAAACATCTGCCTTTGAAATTTGTGCCCCCAGGGCATTTACTTCCAAAGTCTGAATTTTCCTGCAGCATCCCAAAAGGTAGTAATTTACCAAGTTTCATCTTTCCACACGAGCTCAATACGTCAGGAAAAAAAATAGGCTCGTCCATGCCAGGTTTAAGCCATGTTCCATGTCTCTCCGTTTTACTCAAGCACAAATAATGTTATGGAGGGGGAATGAGTATCGGGACATGGAAGCCAGAAGAAGCCAAAAGAAAGCCAAGGAATGACCGGGAATTGAACCCAGACCTCCTGATTGCCGCTCAGATGTGCCCTACACCACCAAACCCGGGACATCCAGTCGACCCTCCAAAAAGTCCTCTCTCCGAAATATGTACCAAGTTTCAGATTTCTAACCTTTCCAGAACATGGTTAGAATTAGCGTCAGCCAGTCAGTCACGATCGTCAATATATACTAGATTCTGCTCCGCTTAACTTCAGAAAAAGAGTATTCAAGTCATAATGAAGGCCAATAGAGATTTTAGGTAGACGAACACATTTCGATTAAGCGTCTCTCCGGGTCACTGTCTGACCGCACACATGAATGAGACTTTCTAAAATGCACCTACTCGAGTAATTCCTACTCGAGTAATTCCCGACTGTTTGACGAATCATGGTGGACATCTTCCACCTGCTTGATTTCACAGGCTATGATTATGACTCATTAAGAGTTACATTCTGCCATATGCCAAAGTGCTCGTCCGATACATGTATACGTCATGAATAGCATGGTGCATTCAAAGCGGGTGTTATATTAAGAGAATATTAAGAGAAAAGAATTTGACTCACTGCATTGGCCAGAGGCATCATCAGCCACAAATCCCTCGAAGCATGCACATGTGTTACCATCGTAGTTCTCATCGCAGTTTGAATGAGTCACACACAACGATGAATTTGTACACTTATGTCCAACGGGCAGTTCTGCAATAAAGATCGATTCCTTTATTGAGCTGTTTTGTTGAGTTGTCTAGAGCGAGGTTGACACTACAAGGAAGAGGTTATGTCAGTGATTCAGAGGCTTCCTAAGAGATCTAAATCAAGTGTTATGGTATGAATATGATTATTTTAAGATATAAGAAATGTTGCTTACATTTCATGCTGAAATCCACACTAATATATCATTCACATTTAAAAAAATATGATGGAATGCTCTACTGAAATTTCCATGCGGAACTGAAATTAATACTTTTATCGAGTGAGTTTCAATCATCCTAGGTTTCGATCTAGCTAGATGTTATAGTTCTTATGTTCCCCTAACCTACCTTCACAGAATAAAGCTGCTCTAATAGGAGATTCTTGCATTCATTAATTGTGCGTAAATAGTGAATCACATATTTAAGGTCATTAGTTCTCGTGCGACAATGAATTCTTACGATTGAGTACAAAGTGGAATATGGCGAAATCTTCACAGCTGTTGAAAAATATATACAGAGGAATTTCATGGAGAAATTAAGAGCTAGTGTAGTTACCTTTCGATCATGAAAAGACGAAGTATTTCTGTCACAATGCCTATGTTTTACTACCCAGCGGATTGTGCCGATGGGTCCAAAACAAATAGTATCATACATCAGATAAGATGAAGAAACCTTAAATTGCTATTCTCTGAAGTCGTAGGCAGCATGATGGCAACACTATTTTAATAAAATTCACTTTTCATTTAACTTCATACATTCATGGATTCCAAAATTTGGATGGGGTCTCGGTCTCATTAGAAGTCGTATTTACCTCGTTTCTTATCTCAATCTGCCTTTCTAAAGTAATGATCCCCTATACGTTCCATTAGACAATCAAATATATCCTCCTGCTTATACGAGTAATAGATTTACTCACTGCACAAGCCAGTGGCATCGTCCGCCACGAAGTCGTCGAAGCATGAGCACTTGTTTTCCCCATCGTTTTCGCTGCAGATGGAATGAGTCACACACAAAGCCAAACTCGAGCATTTTCCTCCTGATGGTATTTCTGCCAGGGAAAATACCAAAATTGCCTTTCCGTTCAATGGCTAATGAAATCATGAAGTGTGTACTAGGAATCACTTGAAAACAACTGTGAGTGTATTAGTAGCCAAATTCGATTAGTGAATCACAAAGGTCACAGAAATGTTTGCAATTCTGCTTGCGTGCTAGCTGTTTTCAGGCAATCATTTAGGAGAAAAAGGCCAAAGCCTATTAAAAACGTTCCAGAAATGGTTTTCCAGCGAAGCATATTTATGTTACATACTTTCCAATAAAATCCCATTTTGATACAAAATGGGTTGACATTGCATTTTGGCTGCATAAGCATATTAAAATTATTGGAGAAGAATGTTATTGACGAAGAAAGGTACCGTAATATGCTCCCGTCACCTTGGCTGAAAGAAACAGCTCCTCTCCTGAGATACAGCTGCCATGACTTCAGGAATCACACATCCAATCGACATTGATTCGTCCCCAGTAGTAGATTTAGCATTGTCTATTTTGTCGGAATTCATGCAAAGTTAATTTCAATTGCCCTATATGAAAGGAGAGCGCCACTAAATGGCGAAAACTTAACGCCCAATTGAGATTGTTCCAGCGTAACTATCTATAGCTGCCACTTCCCTCCCTACCAACAAACATTATTTTCCAAACTAGAGGGTTTGGGTTTGCTCATCATGACAGAACAGCAAATTGCGATAATGGAAGGGCTGATCTAGCTTGTGAATCCCCTCCTTGGATCAAAAGGAATTCCAAACACAAAACACATTATTGGAAAGCAGAGCGTTTTACTCACTGCACAGGCCAGTGGCATCATCAGCCACAAACCCTCCGAAGCACGAACACGTCTTATCCTCATCATTTCCAGTGCAGAGGGAATGAGTCACGCACGATTTCGAACTAGAGCATTTCTCTTTGGCTGCCTGTTCTGGATGGAGAAACACCGGGAGTTGCATATCAGTAATCAAGAAGTATTCAAATCAATCATAAAAATTCGTACTAAATAATAACTCTTTAAATGTATTGTTTCAAAAGCCTGCAGGGATCGATGATTTCCCAAAATGGAGAATTTTTCAATTGTTCACTCTGAATGGCAATTAGGTGTGTAGCAATCTTATTTAATTTTTTTTTCGGTCACATGATTTTATGTCCATTTTCCGAGGTTCGTTTTGCATTAAAAAAAATTCGTAAGCATGGACTTGAAACAGAATGAACCTTAGAGTATGATTCTGGGGTATATCGCCTGTAAATGGATAAAGTATTACGGAGGTTCGCACCATGTTGACAACAAGCATGTGAATCAGGAATTGAATAAGACGTCTTGGTTCTTCAAACGTGGAAGACGCTAAGAGGACCACCATATTACGGACAGGACAGTGGCGCCACATACGGTTACTGTTACAAGAACGCGTCATGACACTCTCACATGTTTCTTTCATTTTCATTTCCGTATTTTCCACAATACTGCGTGCGAAGTCGTTGCAGCAAAAATGTGACTGCAGTTTCTGATTCACCTTCGTGTACCTTGCATAACCCTGCCACTATGCCGAACAACTTCCCTGCCTTCCACTTTATATCCCTATTTGCATTTTTAATTTGAGAATGCTCATTCGGAGTCTAATTCATCTTCTTGTCCAGTGGGAATGAACACTCCCAAACTCATTTCATTGTATACTGATTTATGACTATTATGTGCGTGATGAGACAATCAATGACTCTGTTCTCATATATGTTCCAAGAGCAGAGACGAATTTGACTCACTGCACAGGCCAGTGATATCCGGCACAAATCCATCCAAGCATGTACACTTGTTGCCGTCATTACTTTCTTCGCAGGATGAATGAGTCACGCACGATGTTGGACTTGAGCAGGATCCTCCAGCCGGCAGTTCTGCGCGAAAAAGACAATAAATTCCCGTTTGGTTCGATATTGATGAATTTAGATACCAACCGCCCTTGTTACACTTTCGGTATTCATACCAGATTGCGGTGTTAAAGCTAAAGTCATGCGAGTATATCAATTTTAAACAAAATATAATAATTACAATGACAGGAAGGGTTGCGGTATAGTATATGAAAAGCATGTCTGATGCCTGAAGGCTCTCAGTAGTAGCAATATTGGCAATGCTCATTGCCGAGGACTTGAGCGAGGGATTCCAGAAGCCTCAATCACAGGTCCAACACAGTCACGCGCTAATAGTGATTGTGTTTATCTTAAATAAATACATTAGCATGCCCTTTAAAACCTTGGGAAGAGGACACTACACGGTGTAAAAAAAATGCTTAATTTTCGCATATAATGGCGGTAAATTTTATAAGATCGATTCAGTTTTAAAACCCTGCATATGGATAGAGGAAAGAAGGTACTTATCTAATCTATGCCAGTTCTAACTTGAAAGGTAAAAAAAAAATCCGGTAGAAGCCCGCTGATGAATTCAGCCAGAGATGCTAACGAAAGTATGCGCGTGCCATGCCAAAGAGGCAGAGGGCGTGTTGTTCTCCCTTCGTCATCTATGAGTGTTTAATTGAAAATGAGACTTTTCGTCCCCTACTTTAGGATACCCTATGAGTAACAGCCATTGTCCCCTTCTATATACATATATTACTAGGTTGAATCCTGAAACATTTCTGCTTACAGTGTACACTAAAGCAAAACATTTTGGATGAAATCTGAAAGGCTGATGGGAAATAAACATATCAATAGATTTAATTAGGTTTCATCCCATACACAATAGGGGAGTGGGTACAGACTTCGGACGCTTTCTCTAAGTTGTTTCCATTACATTTCTTTCGACCGAACTTGGGTCTCGAATCGACCAGAGTTGCCCGTTCTAAATAAATGGGTGGAATGGATTCCTTCGGTAATTCAACGACGTCCATTTTTATTAGTTGATATTTAGATCGATCCGGAACGGGAGCTAGTGAAAACTCTCTTCCCTTTGAATGTATCCTGAATAGGATGTAGGAGAAAAGTCTAGGTCTGAAATTGCTCGACGGTGCTTACCTCAGTGGCCCTCAATTCTGGCACCTAAATAGCCAAAGTGCCTGTACAAATTGCGATCATAAAAATAGTAAAGTAGTCGAACACCATTGGGACTGAAGGAGTTATGTATCGCAGAGGGAGCAGTGTTTCTGGTCACTAGGGAGGCTTTGAGTCGCTGTAGGAGTCCGATGGCTAGGGATGGAGTACATTTTTCGAAGGAGGGAGCTGTAGCAGTCGGATTGGCTATCATGAAGGAAAATTAGCCTTTTTTAGGGTTGTAGATGGGGGAGCAAGGGATCACAAGCAAGGGACAGCCACTACGAGCAGCTTTAGACCGCCGCGTACTGGTGCGAAAGACAGGGAAGAGTAAAGTGTTTCTACGCGAATGCACGCAGCTTACGTAATAAAATAGACGAGCTCAGGGGGCGGGCACTGGACAACGGTTTCGATGTCATCGGAATAACCGAGACTTGGGGGGTTCTCACATTTCGGATAAGGAATTCGAGATCGAAGGGTACATCATCTTGCGGAAGGATAGGCTCGGCAGAAAGGGGGGAGGAGTCGTGTTGTACGCTAAAACCGAACTGGGCG